CAATCAGTCCTATTAAAGGAGTTCTTGTGAACAAGCCTATTCACTTCTACTTGCACAGGTGGTTTCTCATCTGTAACTCCTACTCATTCAATTTGAATAACTAATCTCAGAGAAAGAGCCAAAGCATCAACCTTGTGTTATATTTTACTAAGTCACCTATGTAGATATTTTTTTTTCAAGACTTATTTCAAGAAGTGATTGCTGTCAGCAAATCAGAAAGGATTGGATCCATCTTGGATTTCACTTTCCCAGCAAGGAAATTGCTAGGCTACAAAAGCAATGGAGAAAGCTACCTGTTCCAAAGGAAGAATTCATGAGCTGAGCAGCCCTGTAAAACCCTCTTTCTGGGCAGTTTCATAAAAATCTTGTTTTCTTGCCAAAGCATGTTTGCAATAAACTGCTTTTGGGGAAAGGGGGAAAAAAACAACAACAAAAAAACCCCACAACCTTGAGGGGGGAAGTAGGAGATTATTTGGTTACACAGAAACTTATAGAGGATGGTGGACAGATCTGGCAAGGTTTTTCTGCAAGACTGACCTGTAATACAATGACAGGTAAAAGCACTTTCCACAGATTTTGCCTAGCTTATGTAAGATTGAGACTTGTCATAACCTACCAGTTTAATCACTGGTGAAGATGTATTTTAACTCCATCACCACTCCCTCACTTCCAATATAATTTTTGGCACTTACACCCTCAGAAAAGAAAAGAAAAAAGCGTTTAGCAGAGGTGCTAGATATCTCCCTTGCTGAACAGGGGAGACTTTCCCACCCGTGCACCGCTGCCTGGAGCAACAGGGTGTCTGATCTCCCAGCCCAGGAGCTCTGACCAGTCCAGCGCGCTGGGCACTGACTGCCTTGAGCAGCTTCCTCCCAGTGCTGCATTTTGGTAACTAGCACCCTGCCATGTGCTTGAAAAACCACTGCAGAATATTGAGAAAAAAATACAAACAAAAAAACAAACGAACAAACACATCCTTTGATGTGATGAGAATATTCCATTGATTTTGATGATAATTATTCCACTGTCAGGTTTAGTCACAAAGAGACATTTTGTGGCAGTGAAGCTGTAAAGTGTGGCAAGACACTGTGCTGAGTGACACTATGCACATAAGGTGGTAAAAGTAAGTGCACACCCACCTGCATACTCCAAACTTAAGTGCTGCTTATATTTTTCTACTGAAAAAAAATGTTTTGCAAAGAAATATTTCATGCTTCTTTCTATCCTGGAATTATATTCACAAAGACTGGATTTTATACTGCATTAATTTTAAACTTCTAACAAATGGAAGACCAGGCTAAAGACAAATACCTCAGCTTTAGCTATATGGTAAGAAGTTAAAACTGCAGAACTACTCAGCACTACCATGTGTTTTCCTGGTCTTTTGGAGACACACTGACCTGAGTTTTAAATCTTTTAATCCCTTCCTTTAGCAAAAAGCAATTCAGGGATGCTCAGCTGTGCAGTTTTATCCAGAGCGTTGCAACGAAAACTGAAACAGTGAATTCACAGACTGAAGGTAGCAGATCATCCTACTGATGAGGACATTGCACATTAACAGCCCTGACTCTACCCCCTGGTGCTACAGAGACATAATTTAATCTCAGTGTATTTTAGTTTCTCCACTTGACCAACAGCACAAATTGCTTTGCATAGTGCTCTGATACATCACCTACCCATATGCAAGAGTTGTCTGTCAGAAATAACCTTGAATCTTTGTATATAATTAACTTGGAATTTGTTTAATTTACTCAAACATATTTCCCTGTAATAATCTGACAAAGCTTCACTGGGGAGAAAAAAAAAAAAAAAACACCCTAATAGCTAGTTATCCAAAGAAATAAATAACTGGGACTTCTCTAAGTGGTTAAATGACCCTGTAATTAGTGACTTTGATCTGGTCTAGAGGTATTTTGCTTATCACCAAAGAGTCTCAGAAGTGGATAATTAACTGACAATTACACTATTCTAACTAAGGATCAATTAATAAAGCATGTAATTCAGACTTTAAATATCATACATTAATAAAATTGCGACTAGGTGAACCTATTGCAGGAAAAATCTGAAACAGAAAAGCTGGGAAGTTGGTGATTACCCAATCTAAGGCTTCCATAGAGACAGACACAATAGTTATGACACTCCTATGGTATGTGACACAGATTTCTGTTTTGAACTTACAATTCATGGACATTAAAAAAGGTTTTTTAAATATGAAATCTTTTATGATTCAGAATACTCCATTTTCTGGCTTGGCTATGAAATCAAGGAGATTGAACAAGACACGGAGACAGAGCTGCATTAAGTACATGTATAATAAGCCAAAGTATTTTCAAACAAAAAGGGCCAGCAAACAAGTTCTGCACTCTGCACCCCTGGAACCGTGATTTACACTTACATGCTTAATTCTCTGAAACTTACTGAAGACTCTGCCAAAGAAGCAAGGAGTCTCTCCACGACTGGAGGAGAAACAGTATGTCCCTGTGCTCCATGACTCACCTGGAAATGAGAACCGTCACTCCGCAGCCAGATTGGGCGGCCTTCGTCTTTCGGTCAGAGGCCGTCCAAGTGATTGCAACCTGGCATGGCCTAACACAGACATAAACATCCGTATTGCAAAACCCAAGCTCATCCATTTCTTTTTGGTGTGTTGCACTCGCCCACAGGTTTTGCTAGAACTTCCTTAGCATGATGTACAGGATTCTGTCCTGCCTAATTTTTTGCTTTTCTCCAACAAAATGTTTGGAAAACAAGGCATCTGTCTTTGTGAGCAGTGTGGAATCTGGGGAAAGGCAATGGATGATCATTGTAATTTAAGTCATTTAGCCTGCAACCTTATAACCTATCTCAAATGGAACACATGAAAAGGGGAAAGGGCCCAGATAAAGAATAAAGGCAGCTTGTGTTTGCTGGGGGGGATATAAATTTTTTTTAAAGAGAAAACAGGTAATGAAATCCTGTTAAGACAGCAACTGCAGGGATTAAACTGGGAGAGGATTTTTGAGATTTTTTTGGTTCTAGAATCTTGTTTCACAAACTCTTTATGTAAAAAGAAAACACAAACAAAACCCCCTTGCTACTGTGGAATGAAGAACATGAATTACCTGACAACTGTAGAGGTCTGAAACTGCCATGTAGAACCTACTCAGATGTTTGATCACAATTAGGAACAAGTCAACATTGAGAGCTAGTTCACTCCTTGCAAAACAAAAGCCTACAGAAAGGAAAGATCTTGGATTTACTGAGCTAATCACTAGCAGTGCTAATCCAGTGCACCAAGAGTATGCTGGGAGGAGATAGGAGAGCACCAGCTTCCAGTCCTTACCAGGCAGAGCTTTGAAGGGTGGTATTTAACTTCACCCACTGGGAAAAACAAACCAAAGGATCTATCACCTGGGACACAGTCCACCCTTTCCCACTATGTCCATGCCCTGGTCTGCTGTGGCACCACTGGGGATCAAATGACTTTGGCATGAAAGGTGACTGCTGTTCACACTTGCAAGCCTGTTTTTGTAACCCGGAGAGCGCGTTACGAAGTGAACACTTAGCTCATCATGCAGTTTTGGCAGCTGATGTCTTGGGCACATTCCTGTTGTTCCTATGGCTTAACGTAGCCTGCTGAAGCCCTGTGGAGCCAAACTGAGCAAGCCCAGCCCAAACACATCAGCACCAGGGCATCTGCTGCGTGGAAATGGAGGGCCCTCAGCAGACACCTTCACCCCCAGGCCAGGCAAGACAAAGGTGAAGGGTCCACACTGCAGAAGGAAATACAGTTGGCAAGGAGGAAAGGGAGGAAGGGAGGAAATAGCTGAAATGGAATTAGCTGATATGGAATGGGAATGACGATGCGGTAATTGTAGGACCAAGGCTTGATCACATGATGACAGCTGCTGTTCCTTTTGGCCAGGAGAGGAGTGAGAACTCTTATCACCCTGTTCATCACCTTGTACCTCGCTCATTTTACAAGCAGATCCGAACTGCACTGGTTTTCTTGCAAGAGTCTCTTACACAAGAGAAGACCTGAGATTGTAAATACCAAGCAATATAGAGAACACGTTTGTGCTTTTGACACAAACTACCCTGGCAACAGGATAAAGTCCTTCAAAGTTCAAAATAGCAAGGATACTCCTACTCTTGCACCCCAATTAGAAGAAATGCAGAGGCAATCTTGCCTGCCTCACAGCTGTGCTGGGAGAGCAAAACTAAACCCTATAAGGAGATAGCTAAAAATAATCAAGTGTAGTTCTGCAATTAGAGTTGCATATAATAAAAGATGCAACTCTAATAAAGACGAGTCATGATTAGACATGATGTCACATATTAAAAATTTAATCCAAACAACTTGTCTGTTTCACTACAAATAGCAAACTTGAATGTCCTGGCAAACTGTAAGGACATGATTTACAAATACTAGGTAATATTTGGATCCTACATTATAAGCAGTGCTCCAGGCTTTCTGAGAAACAAAAATGACATCATTTTGGACTTAGCTTGGTCATTTCAATAGATGGAGCTACATTAGAGACATAAACCTTGTGCTCAACATAAGGAGCTCAATGCATACAGACTTTTGTTTTGGTCACAGACCACACAACTAGCACGCACCCATGTCTCCCATTGCTTTGAAGCCTTTGCATTTCAGTAGTATGAAACTTCTAATCATGCCTGCAGATCCATCATACCCACGCCGCTCTGCAGACTCAAATTGCTGCTGGTATTAATAACCAAACAGCATGCAAATTCTAAAAAAACAGTTTTGGTTTCTTTTCTTTGAATTCACATAACAAGTAATGGCATACTTTTTCAAACTGCTTTTCCCTGCCACTTAACTGCTCTCCAGAGCCCTACACTGAAACTTGACCTCCTGTGAACTTTCTTTTTTTTTTTTTTTAAAATTTAAAAAACATATGTTTAAAATCTTTCCAAACGAACACCATTAACTCTGCCCTTCGTGCAACCAGCAGTCGTGACCCAGAGCAGGCCCAAGGGCTGCGCGTACTTACGAGGAACACTCTCCGGATTTCGGGTGCCAGCCTCTCCGTTTTTAGCTTCCAGACCAGGGGCAATGGTGAGTTGAGAAGGAACACCAGAGGCTTCTGGTGAATGTGCACTGATGAAATTGGATTCAAATGTAAGGTGACCTATGGAGAAATATAAAAATACATAAGCGCTTCCTTGCAGGTTCCATTGCTTCAAATTCTACTTTAGCTTTCAATTAGAGACCATTTTAATTCATATTAAGGCTTACATTATTTATGAGTTACTCTAAAAAAAAAGGAAAAAAAAAGCCAACAGAACACATACAGAATGAAAGAGTTAACATTTGTGCTCTACACTGGCAGAACACTGCTAAAGTGTTTAAGAAAACCTTGGCAAATACAGATGAAAAATAGCTTATGTAAAAGGTCAAACCACTAAGCTGAGAGTTGGAGAACAAGGAGATAAAAGGAATTGCAAAGACAGCTTATATCTCTAGTCTCTAGATGGTAGCCTACGAAGCTGGCTTGCAGTACGGCCCTCCCCTGTTGATGCTATTGGGGCATAAATCTAATCTGCAAAATAATCAAACAAACAAAAAACAGGAGAAAAATCCAGAAACACAAGCTAATAGAGACTTGTAACTCTCAAGAGCCACCCATGCACAAGGCACCCCGGCTGCAAGGAGCAGGGGCAGGGGAGCAGAGGGGGCCAGTAGCTCACGGGCAGCAGAGGAGGAGCTGAACACGGAGCTCAGTGCAAGGCAGGGCCCAGGAAGATCATGGATTAATTTGACAAACCAACCAGAGGACATCTACACACCAACAAACCGAAGATATGGTAGCCATTACAGCTGACAATCTTTTCCAGAGTAAAAGCTCACCTGATGCTTACCTCCCCCCTTCCCAGGAAGCGCAAAGTTCACTGTCATTGCAAAGTGAAAGCTGAACTTCAGTGTCACAGGCCTGAGCAGGCCCTGGAGCACAGCAGGAAGGGGTTTTCCTGCTACTTAACAGATTTTGGAAGGCAAATATCATGCTGCTTCCTTATCGCCACCGCCCATCAGCAAGCAAATGGTTACATGCACAATCTACCTGACCACACGCATCTTTATATGTGCTGATAGTTCAGTCAGCTTAAATCACCATAGCGAATCCCTATAAACGCATGTCAGGAAGCATGAGGACATCAGTATTTCCACATTTTTCATGTCTGATGAAAACTTGTTGGAAAACTGATATTACAAGACTAATACCATATTAGAATAAGAAAACCAAACAAAGCAAAACCCAACACTCCAGCAAAACAAAAAAAATCCAACACTCCAGAGAAACAAAAAAGCACCATATTGCTTATTATGCTGTGCATAAGTGCACGGCAAGATCTGTTTCCAGCGTGCCCTTGCCCTACCTCACTGGCTATGGCTTCTTGCGCAGGGAGCAAGGCCTCCTGAAGCACTGCCACAAGTGGCCGTGGCGCGAGGGGACCCCAGCCGCCGGCCCTGGG